CACGATCGTGGACTGGGCGCAGCCAAGTACTGTCGCTAAGTCGCAGGTACTCTGGCTCGGATCGGCTTCCACTGTGTGCTGCAACTGCTCGTCGTCGATTTCAGATGGCCTCATCCTCGAGGCTGTAATTTCCAGACCGGAAACGATGGAACCATCGTCGCGCTGTCCTTTCGCAAACTGCACCTCGACCAAACGCTGCGCAGATGCGGCGACTCGATTCAACAGCTGTGATGCCAGATAGGAAGTCGTAAAGAAGGCACTGACGTTGGGCAGTCTTGTTGAAGTCCATTTTGGAAGTCATGTTCATAGGCTTTGAACGACTAAGCAACTGCTGCGTAATCACGGCCACACACCCATTATATACTGCTACTGTGGAAGGTTCGGGGAAGTTCCAGAAATTTTTTAGTGGAAAATTCTCGAAACGGCCAGAACTTTCCGTTCCCTGATATATGCAATTGCCCTGATATATGCAATTTTTCCTACCTAACGAATGGAAAAAGGAGCCAGAGAGAGGATATAGCGAGAAGCTAAGAGTGACCACGAGGGAATACCAATGGCTGAGTAAGTATAGACTGCACATCGAAAAACTCTCGACACGTAGACAACATGAGAAATAATCGGATAGAGGAGCTGGGAAGGCAAGCAGAGCGCAAAGGAGGGCCGAGTGCGCGAGAACAGCAAGGAAGGAGAGGAAATGTCCTGCCTCGAATCCCGGGGAAAGAGTGAGCCGAAATGGTCCCCGACGGCGCCTTTTATGCACACCCTAGTGACGTCACCCTGCGTGCGAGCAAATTCACGACCTCCTCCACGCCAGGGGTTACCCGGAACACGATCGTCGACCGAGCATTGCTGCTCCGAGCCGCGAATCGTGTTGAACTGCCATGGCAGGCCTGCAGCCCTCTTAGGCCTCTGAGCTTGAGAACTCACCAAGTTTTTGCTCCAAGGGGGGACTGATGGGTCCTCGCTGATCTGCGCAGAAACGCATTTTCGGATGAGGCGGTTCAGAATAAAGGACATACCGTGTAAGAAGAGAGGGTGGCGAAGCGTACCTATGGCATGGGAAAACGTGTAAGACAGTTATATCAGGAAATCTGAAACTAATGAGAATTTCCCTTAAAAATTCGTTTTTCATTGGGATGGGTTGCGTGAATTCGATGCTCAGCCGTCTCTCATCCGTATCTACGTTTATAACACGCAGTGTACCGAATCACCTAACCATGAAGAAGAAATCGCGTGCAGGGGACAATGGTACCGTAATAATTGTTATGGTCTGACAGCTTGCACACAAAATGTGGTAATTGATTAATTGATTTTAAAAATATTGAGTTTCTTTTTCCCGACGCTATTTCTCTCTCTCTCTCGGAGTGGACTACGCAGTCTATTGCATCTAAACGACGCCATTTGTATCTAATTAATGACTGAATCTCTCTTACTGCTAATTGAAAAATTTCCCTTATGGGAAAACATATAAAGTGGGACCACACGCCGAAAGGTACATGCGATATGCATCAATCGCAAGCTTTTGATGAGTAGATTGCGGCGGCGCATATTTTACCTGCGAAAGACGAGAAAAGAAGTAGTAATTTTCCGGCGAAGGTCTTGGATAGGCTAGCATGAAATGGCGTAGGAGGAATGAAATGGCATGAAATGGCGTAGGAGGAATGAAATGGCATAAAATGGCGTAGGAGGAATGAAATGGCATGAAATGGCGTAGGAGGAATGAAATGGCATGAAATGGCGTAGGAGGAATGAAATGCCATGAAATGGCGTAGTTCACCGCGGGAGAGCCGCGTTGAACTGAGGCCGACAGACGCGGTTTCCGTCGGAACGAAGTCTCACGTGTGGCGACGGAGGAGTTGCTCTATGTCCCCGCTTTGGTGGTTTTATTCGTGGCACATCTGACCGGCAATCAGGCGGACCTCATTCGAGTCCCGGCCATCCCTTTGGCTATCTCTCGTCCATCTCCTGTCGGCCCATCTGTCTCCGGTCCTCATGACATATTCATTATGCTCCTCCCCCCCCCCCTCCCCCAAAAAAAGTCATAATAATGATGAAATAAAATAAAGAAAAATATTTTCGATCACCTGAATGCGCGACCATCGGACCATTTCCCTCAGGGCTTTAAAGTTTTTCCTCTATACCATAAATAATTAACCTCAGAGCAAAGAGGATGAAGGCATTTCGAACGAGCCGCATTCCTTCTACATTTAGCCGAACGAACCAGAAATTCAGCCTCATTTTGGGGAATCATGGATGAAGAAGGAGAGAAAATGCATTCATTTTGTTGAGGGTTCCCTCATCACGTGAGACTATTATTGATGAAAGTGTGGCATTTTCAAATTCCAACTTTGTTCCTTTACGTATTGTATTTTCCCTCACTGCTAATTAAAAATTAAACCTGCGTTCTTTATGTTTGTCGAAATGGCGTTATCCGTGATTGGTACATGTGGCATGTCAACAGCAAGCTCTTCAGGAGTCGATTGCGTCGGTGCATATTTCGTCCGAGAATGATGAAGAAATAGTGAATGCAATGCAAAAAAAAAGTGTAAGCTGCAGGGGGACGCGGATCGGCTCGACAGGACCGATCTGCCCCGCCCACCGAGAGTGCAGCGAAGTCGACAATTCAGTTTCCGGTCGGGTGCGAGCGAATGCTCACGCGAGACCTCGTAGCCACGAAGCCCAGGGGGGGCAAAGCGAGCTTCGGACCGGTCCTGTCGGCGACAGGACCGGTCCTGTCGGCGAGCGAGTTTTAGGTCGAGTGCGGGTCGGATGTGTGACGATTTCGCCAGGAAAGGCGTTCGGTATGATGACTCATTGCCAAAATTTGGACTCATTCCATGAAAATAGGAGGATTCTTCAAACTTTTGACCCAAGAAGTATCGCTTCCGTTCATAACCATTCGATCGACTCGTGAAAATCTGTTCAGGCTCTTCTCCTATGTATTACGTATATGTATCACATATGAATGAAAGATGACCGGGTATTGAAATCGCACAACTAATCCCAAAGAAGGAGGTTTTATACGGCGTATTGCGAAATTTTCATGAGTTTTAGCCTTCCCGATATGACTTTCTTGCACGGTTTCCCATGGCAAAGGCACGATTCGCCACCCTGTCTTCTTCCACGGCATCTCCATTGCTGCGAACCGTTCCGCCAGAAAATGCGTTTCCGCGCAGATCTGCTACGGTCCCACCCTTGGGGCAAATACATCATCAGAGACGGCCATATCGGCCCCACACGATCCACGGCTCCGATCAGAAAAGCTCCGTCGGTGACCGAGTTCTGCGTCAGGTGCGGGCCACGAATCGAATCGGACCGATCGAGTTTCAACTCGGATGAGTCGACCCGTGCATTCCTCCGACGCGGAGACAGACAGGAGGACGCATGGCAATAACGTCCGCAGCGACCTTTTCGGACTTTTCACCCAACGAGTATCGCCTCCAGGTCCTAAGCTTTCGATTGACACCTCGCTCGTGATAATCCGTTCGTCCGTCTCGGAGGAGTTTCCCGGAACAGGATTAACAGGATTAACAGGATCAGCCTCTTATGCATATGGATACCAACACTTCGTGCCGGAAAGGACCTTCCAACTCCCGCGTCAGAATTTTCTGCTACCTTTCCGTGGAGATACAGCGTGAGGTAATGGATGAATTCGTCCGGCCAGGGCAGGGAGTTCCACATCCCCCACCACCGCGTGAACACCGTCGTGACGTAGAAACCCAGCACGAAGAGCAGCGGGATCGTCTTGTTGAAGTCGCGGCAGTACGTCACCACCGTCTCGAAGGACCTGCGAGATCGGCACGCGTGCAAAAACTTGCGAGGATTCGCAAAAAACGGAGCCGAATGCATTTTGGAAGGAGGAGAAGCGTTTTTTTTCGGTCGATTCGTCTGCGGGAAACGCGGGTTGCCGGCCGTGCCGGATTTCAAAATTCCTCGTGCGACTTTAAAAACGGACTCGCGAATAAAATCGAAAGGAAAAGAGGGAAGTCGCACTCACTTCTTCTGACCCGGATCCAGTCCGTAGGTGTAGAGCATGTTGAAGCCGTAAAAGAAGACGAGCCAGAAGAAGAGTTCGAACCAGATCAGCTTGTAGATGCTCATCTTCCATCTGCGTCGAGACATTCGCGACGAGATTCATTTCCGTCGCGAATTCTTTGAAACGCGAAAGGATCTGCGAGGATCTGCGGGGATGTGCAGGGATGTGCAAGGATGTGCTCACCTGAGGACGATCCCGATGATGCCACCGATCCTCGCCCCGTTCGCGAATTTCGGGGCGCTCTCGTAGGCCTTCATGATTCGGCTTGGAAGCGGGAAGCGGCCTCCTCGCCTTTCGCTCCGCTGGGGCTTTTCGTCGCCCCGAGACTCGGTCGTGTGAGGGGGGAGGGGGGCCGTATCGACCGCGATCGATTTCCGCGGGGAACCTCCCTTTGCTCGCGCGCGTTTAGCATCGATGCACGGGGTGAGGGCGACGGTGGGGTTTACCGGAGGAGAGAGGCGGGGCGGGGCCGTTTTCCTTTCTCGAACGATCTGCGAATCGAGCCGCTTCTAAGTGCAGGACTACACGCGTACTTCAGGAAATATATGTTTTCCCATGCCATGACGAATCGCTAATGGTATCGGAGTAGGTCTTCCGAATGTTACTGGAAATGGATTACACCGCGGAAGATTTTCCGCGGCGACTCCAAATCCAGCCCGCGAAGAGATTTAATCCGGCCGGCCTAGCACGCCGATAGGAGATTTATTTCATACTTGAAGCATCATTTTCGACTCGTGCTCCCTCCTCCGTGCAAATCGACACCGCCCTCGATTGCACACTCCGTCCTCAGGCTCGAGCCGTGTCGATCCGGCCGCATTTAGTGCAAGGTTGCCGACCCCCGAAATCGGGCATTGAAAACGGCCAGTAGTGGAGCCGGCGCTCTGCCTCATCGCGAAGTCCACAGGTTTCCTACCTTCGTGTCGACACGGACTGCCCCAGTTTTCCGAAGTGTTCCGGACTGGCAAATGAGCAGCCACGACGACACACCGGGCCCCACTCCCCCCTCCACCTCCTCCCCCCTCCACCTCCTCCCCCCTCCACCTCCTTCCACCTCTCCCCCCTCCACCTCCCCTTCCATGCACATTTTCCCACCTCCCTCTCCTCATCCCCTCGCACCTTACAGTGCCAACCTCGAATCGAGACAATATGATCGTCCCAGTACGAAAGGCTGTCAGCGGGAGAGGTCATTACAAGCCGGAGACAAAAACGTAATAGCTTCTTAATGACACTCATGCGATATGCATGACGAGTGAAAGGAAAATGGCTCCCATGAGCGTTCCATCTCCGACAGCCAAGTTACAGCCCAGCATGTTTCATGCCGAGTAACGATCGCGTGGCTCATATTATATTAATGTAGTCCAAGGGGAAAAAGCCTCCGATCGATACGTTGGTAAGGTAGCAACGAGCCGCCATTATTTGTACCAGAGATAATTAATTTTTCATCGTTCTCACGATTCTAGCATGTCGCTGGGTAACGAAAATGACGTAGCCAGGCTTTCTTCGAGAAGATCGCAGAGTTATTTTGACGTCATAAAAGAATGACATAGCAAAGCATAAATCACATTTTCTAAAGTACCGCACATACACGACGCGGTCGTGCACCGGTGATTCGCTTCCGGAAACCTTCCAAATCCGAATGAAATCAGAAGGGCATGCCGCTTCAACGACCGAAATTCTGTTTTCGGTTGATCGCCTTCAGGGAATGAAAATGCAAATGAGAATCTGGTTCCCCCGTCAGCCAGAAAGCATGAGTCGATTCGGGAACGAAAGAATCACTCGAGGCATCCGGAATCGAAATTAAATTCGTGCGATTTTAGATGCTCCTTCGACACTAACATGGCTGCATGTGATGCAAAAGCATGCACCTCCGAGGCCACGAATCGCAAATCCTACTAAATGCATGAACGAGTGCATTTAATTTAATTTAATTTAATTTAATTTAATTTAAGGCATGACGTATAACTCGCTGCAGCTAACAGACACATCAGCATATCGTTATGCTTCCTGCGAGAATCACTGTGGGAGAGGCCGAGTGATTCCTCCACCTGCGATGTGTTACGCTTCACCGACACGAGAGGGAAAGTGTCGTTTTATGTATATCAACTGTACTCTGACGATTAGAGTGACGATGAACGATCGCAGTGCGAGCAAATGGCCTACACAGCCTTCCCGGCTGAAGGAATGGGAAATGGCACGAAGGAGCCACGACTCCGTTTGGAGTGCGCGTGAGACACGCCCGGACGCGACGGGATGGCGTTAAGGCGTGGAGCTGAGACTGGAGGCTCCGCTCGGATCCGATTCATCGACGCGATGTGGATGTCACTGTCGATCCTCCGCGTGGCAGACGAGCATTGAATCCTCGATGGTCGAGGAAAGGAGTCGAGACGCGTTACGTTACGTTACGAATCCGAGAATGAGTCCGTTCCCGATTCCGCTGACACGAAGCACGACTCGTGGAAGAGTTGTTCGTGACGAGCCACCAGATGTCTCTGTAATGTTTCGAGCTTCCTCTCCCTCCCCCAACTCTTTGAGTGTCGCCTCTAGTCACACTTTCTACTTGATGGGTTAGGGGAATGATGGGTGGCCTGGACACCTTAGGCACTTGGGGAAACCAAAGGACCCCAGCGGCAAGAAATTAGGCGAGGAAAATAACCTACTGTATATAGCAACGTACGGTATAGCGTTTGATGGAAAGGATTCTGACATGGCCGACGCCTAGTCCTGTCAGGAGCCCACGCTTTTTTTTCTTCGTTTTTCCTTTCGACGTCGCGAGCTTGCAACCCCGCCGATGAAGCGATTCCGCGGTTACCGATGCGTCGGTACGGTCCTAATGGATTGGCCGCCATGTCGAAGATGGGGATTACAAGCCTAGAGCCCTCACGAAAAGATCGTATAGAACCCTTTAAACTTTTTGAAACATAAAAATATAGTCTTTTTATGCGAATTTTATAGGGCTCTGATTAGATTCTATAGTAATCGGACAGGAGTGTAACAGGAATCCTATTGTAATCCTAAAAGATTTTTATGTTTCAAAAATCGCGTAGATCCTATAGGATCATATATTATATTTCCACAAAGTCTTCCCCCCAATCATAGCGTTAATCCAATCGCATAAACCCGGGAGTGGAAGATACGCTCTCAAAGCCGTGATCTTGGCACGCAGCGGCAATTCTCATATTAGGCGATTAAATATTTAACAAGCACAAACACGAAGCATGGATGGTGATTAATGCCTCTCCCGTACGTTTTGCAGCTTTTATTTCATCGAACTGCTTTCGATGATGACTCTTCCTACGAGCCACTTTGATCCTCAACCAGTTAAAACTTCCGATCAGACCACAATCATGAAGCTGATCCAGCCCGGACAGAAAAAAGAGGAAATATTTCGTTGGATTAGGGGCGTTTTCCGTCTGAAGCCTGTAAGAAACACTGAAATTAAATGTGTGAGCTATTTCCTGAGATAACGCGGACATAAAATCATACTTATACGATCTAAATACTGTCCTATTCCGAGTTCGAGTGCGATTCGGGGCTCTCGGGCTATACACAGGAATGTCGGTAGGGAGGTTTGCCCTCTCTAGAACTTTTCCTGGCCTCAGCCGTCAACTCGAATTCCCCCCAGATGGGAGAAACATTTGGTAAATGCCTTTTCATGGTTTGGTGCCAGCATTGATGTCTAGCCATTGAAAATAAAAAATAGGGTTCTAAGTGGAAAGGTAGCACCTGAGACCGCCATGCGAGAGAACCACGCATCAATCGTATTAATGACGATACAGGCCTTATTGAGAGGGGCTATGGGAAAAGCGACAGTTGTCAACTCATTCCTTGGAGTGCGTGTTGACGCGCCAGGTTTATTGTCTGCTTGCAATAAAATGACGACTTTTTTTAGGTGATCCTCGTTGAAGCTTTTAGAATCCACTAGTAGGTTGCCAGTGCAAAAGCATTGAAGCATTGAATATTTAAATGCTATGAATGCGCACGTGGCCATGGGAGGCAGTCGCCACTCTCCCGCCCGCCCTCCTGCCTACTGGCTGGCCATGTGAGAAGAAAGGACATGAGAAAGAATATATTTGAGAATACCAACGACCCAGGAAAAAAATGCGAGTCCAGGAGAGGGAAACGAACATCCAGGTATAAGCAGAAAATTCTGTAGGGATAGCACATGCGTGTGTTTCTGAGATCCGTGGGGACGTGACATTCGTGATGGAGATGGATATGGAACACGTTTGGAGGGGAGTTGGAAGACGGTTGGAAGGCAGATGTATATCACAAAATGAAAGGGGGAGAGACGAGATTGTGTCCTTGAGATCAGGAAGGGGTAGAAGCGGGGGTGTGTCGGGGGAGAAGTGGAGGGGGTAGGAGGGAATGGGTGTGTCGGAGGAGTGGCAAGGAAGGGTTTAAAAGCGCTTGGGATTACGGTAAGGCTCTCATTGAGCTCCCTCCGGTGTCCTCCACGGTTGTCCTGCTTTGGGTGAGTCCGTCTGTTTTGTTCTCTGATGGTGGAACTCCTTGTTCAGTTGTTTGAGGTGGAAGTACCTATTAAGAAGACATGTGTTTTATTTCCGCAGGTGCAGGACGGATTGGCCGAAAAGTTCGGGAGATGTCACCGTTTCCTTACTGTTTATCCGTCGTTCATCGACAACCAGCCCCTATGCTTGGAAAAGATTACTTTTCTGGCTTGGAGAGCTGATTGCCGACCACCTGGCAACGAGTGGTATCTTCTTAAATATATGTGCCACTTTTTTGTGCCTCAAATATTTAAGCGTGATTCGTACGAAAAGTTTATTACGGCACATTCCAGAAGATGCAGGCATAAGTGACCGTTCGATGTTTGATCAGGTGGTCGTCTCCTGTCCACTAACCTTGACCGTAATAAGATCCCGGATTCTGAAATGAGGTGAAATGAGGCTCACTCTAGCTAGCATCATTGGCTTCGACGGGAGATCTGGAGCCAGCCGAAGATGTTAGCCAAGATGTCCATGACCTGCTGAAGATGGATCGCAACTTGTTTGATTCCTTTCCCTCCTCTGTTGCACTTGTTTCTCTGCTTGATTATAATTTAATTAATAACTGTTATGCCACCCTGGTTCGGTTCATTTCGCTCCTGAACATATCCATTAACATCAATATTTTCCTGTCTGTATTTAAGGGGAATGCGCCGGAAATGCTAAAAATCCGAGATGATCCTTCCATAGGAATGCTTCATCAGTTCATGTTTTTCGAAGATAAAGTTCTAAACAGGAGTGAATTTGTATGTGCCGTATGCCGTGCTACCGTGAACATTTTGTGTGAGACACAATTGGAGGGAATTTCTGTCACCAGCATACAAAAGTAAAAAACTCCTCAGGGAATAATAGGAATAATGAGCCATATCCCAACTTCAGGACGCTTTTGGCATTTGATCAGAGAGCACATGCCACTCTGGTCCTTCTTATTTAAGGACTGATGATTTCTTTGTAAAATACATTAGGATGAAGGCTTATGACGCAAGCCTTATCCGTGCGTGGTCGATATTAGACCAGAAGCCCACGTTACATGGAATGCTTTGTCTGAAGATTTTGTTTCACCCGAAGTGAATCGCTCGTTATTATGGTAGCCGAGCCCTTTATCAGTTTTCAACCCGTAGGAGCCCTACTGGGGTTGACAAATTCGTATCGATTGGCCCGATTCGTATGGTGATCCCAATTGTACCTGCCGTTCGTGGCCAGCCGATCGGGTCAAG